TATGTTCATACTTTTAGGCTCAGACCATTGAGATCCTAATCGACCAGCCCATAAGGTAGGTCCTACACAAGCTAAAATAGTCTGGAAGGCTAGTCAAGTGGGTTGTGGAGCTCAGCAAGTTCGACATAAAGTTCAAACCTAGAACAACCATCAAGCCTAGGCATTAGCTGACTTCATTGCAGAGTTTACCACCTAAAATGAAGACTAATCTAGAAATCCTAACCTCACTGCAGACATCCCAACTAGGAAATTATATGTAAATGGTGCATTGAACGCACAGGGAAGTGGAGTAGGCCTCATCCTGATGTCTCTTGAGGGATACAGTCTCGAGTATGCACTCAGATTCAACTTCCAGGCCTCCAACAATGAAGCCAGGTACGAAGTCCTCATAACTGCACTTAACTTGGCTTTGTCAATGGAGGCACATAAGATTATCATTCACAACGACTCTCAATTGGTGGTGAGGTAGGTCGAGAAAAAGTATGCTGCCCGAGCTCATACTTAAGAAAGGTTTAGGGTCTACTCAGGAAATTTGTGCATACTGAGCTCATCCAAATTCTTGAGAGGAAAACTGTAACACCCCAAAACACACCCTGAACGACATTACATTCTAAAACCATTTATATCATGCGAGCACTAATATAATCCCTTAAGAAACAAGACTTCATTTGTCATCCACGAATATTTACAACATTATCCAAAAGAATAAGCCCAAGTCATGGCTATTACATCTCAAAAATTAATTAAAGAAACGCAGCGGAATAAACAAAAGAAGTTAGACTACACAATATTCCAAAAAATGTCCTAGTCTAGTACAAAAGGAAAGGAGGTCGCTCTATGCGTCTACCTCAGGATCCACACTCCCGTCCAGTGGAGTCTCCCAAGTAGCGGGCTCCTCGACCCTTACATCCTTCTCCTCAAGCGAGTAATCTGAAAAATATTTGCGATAGGGGGTGAGCACGAAGCTCTGTAGAAAAATTCTCTCAAACTCATACAAGGTTTATAAAAGTATTTAAAATGGTCTGTCTCAATTTTAACATAACATAGATACATAATTTAAAATAAAGTAGTGACATTTAAAAAGGATCTCAAGTTTATTTAAAAACATTACTTAAATGAATAACGAGCACCACATACAAATAATAACCATTAATTGTTATAACCAATTTTCAACAATTTTTTCGATAGATGACATACTTTGTGGTAACCTCCACCCCCCTTTAGGTCACCTTTGATTTTCAAGCATCCTTACCGGGAAACTCTTGAGAATGGATGAGCATCCTTACATGGAACTTCTCACCAATCATCACATTGTTTCCCAAGCATCCTTACTGGGAACCTCTTGGGAAGGGATGTGCATCCTTACAAGGAACCTCTCACTCATGTGCATCACAAACAACCCAATCAAGCATACAATTCTAACATTTATCTCAATTTACAAGCATCTATCTAACATTTTCAAAATATATCATGTAACAATTCCAGAACCAACTAATAAAATACATGAGATCACAATAACATCATTTTTCTACCCAACACAAATCACTAAGGTTTCAAAATCCATAATAAAGAAAACATTTAGGAAGGAAATACATCACTCTAAAAAAATTAGGGTTTTAAAACTAGAAAGGAGATTTCATGGATATTAAACTCTTCTTTGCTCAAAACATGTAATCATTGCAAAAAAAAGCCTAAGAGATGATGATTTCATAGCATATATATATACCATTGATAGTCAAAACATACATATATAAATACCCTAGCCTCAATGTAAGTGAATGAGAGAAAATTCCTACATTGAATCCTTAGTTTGTAGGAAGAACTTGAGCTTTGATCTTGAATCTACTCTTAAATCTCTTGTTTTTCCTTTCCTTTCTTCCTCTCTAATGCTCTCTAGGGTTCCAAGAAGTGTGGGGTGAGAGTGGAGTGAAAGAAATGAGGGAAAATGGGATGAAAATGGGGTTTAAAACACCTCAGCCCCAAAATTCACTGTTTACAGCCTGTTTTGGTTTTTTTCAAAATTACGATTTTGCCACTAAGAGTCTCCAATTTGATCTATATGACCACCCTAAGGTTTTTTGACGTTCTGGATTCATTTTTAATGTTATTTTAACTTAAAAATATTTTTTTTTATGATTTATCTCAAAATCAAAGTCAACGTACACCCGAAACACTAAAGTTTCTATTTTACCCATCCGAACCGGCTATTAATGAAGTTTTGCGTTGTTTGTAAATAAAAGGTGATAAAGGATGCTTCTTAAAGACTTTTATACTTATTTGAAGCCTAAATGTACTCATTTTTCTTATATTTTGATTTAGGATGCATATGGAGACGTTAAATGCAAAACGAAGCTAATTGGACTGTTTTGACATCGCTTCGTTATCTGGGCATAACTCTCTCATCCGAGCTCTGATTGAGATGATTAAAGATGCTATGGAATGATAAGAAAGAGCTCCAAAACTTTCATGTTTTGAGTTTTGAGATATATTGACCGCATCAAGGTCTAAATCAGACTTGAAGTTGCAGCCAGTGCTCTGTTTAAGCTAATTGGGCTGTTTTGACATCACTTCGTTATCTGGGCATAACTCTCTCATCCGAGCTCAGATTGAGATGATTCAAGATGATATGGAATTATATGAAAGATATCTACAACTTTCATGTTTTGAGTTTTGAGAGATATTGATTGCATCAAGGTCAAAATCGCGCTTGAAGTTGCAGCCAGCGCACTGTTCACGTCTTGTTTCATCCCTTTTTCCATTTCCAATCCATTCCTAAACCAACCAAATCCATCCCAAACCTCTCCAACACATATTTCTACACCAAAACTATTTAATAAAAGTTCTAGGACCTAAAATTTCATATTTTCACTTATTAAAACCAAATTTTAACTATTATTTTCACTAACATTTTAAATCTCTAGTTTTCCAATCTACCAAATTCAAATACACATCACTACACATATCCAAATTTTTACCACAATTATTTACTATATATCTATATACATATATAAAATAAAATGCGGGGTGTTACAAAAATAATCGAGCATAAGCACTTGCAAAGTTGGCCACGACGGCTCAACAAGACCTATCTAGGACAACGCCTATTGATCTTCTACTCAAACCAAGCTCGATGAAGATTAAACTATGTTAGTTGAGGAGAACACATCTTGGATGGAACCCATCATCACTTATTGTAGAATGGAAACCTCTTGCGCGATTGAAAGGAAGCAACTAAGAGCACAGACCCTTTCCAACAAAGCGTTCTTGCAAGGATACTTTTGGCCCACAATGGTAAAAGATTTGAAGAAAATAGTGACGAAATGCCAGGCATGCTAGGTCTATAGAAATTTTTCGCACTGCCCGCCAGAGCAGCTCACGCCGATGGTTAGCCTGTGGCCTTTCTAGCAATGAGGTCTGGACATATTGGGACCCCTCCCAGTCGGGGTTGGGCAATGCAAATTCACAATATTCGCCATGGACTATTTCACTAAAAGAGTATAAGCAAAGGCACTGGAAAAGATTACCGAGCAGAATGTGAGAAACTTCGTGTAGAAATCGATAATCTATAGGTTTGGCATCGCAAGGGCCGTGGTTTAAGATAACAACAATCAACTCAACATAAAAAACTTATTTCTCAGCACCTATAGCCAAATAGAAAGGCTGAGGTCACCATCTGAACCATTAAAAATGGCATTGAAAACAAGATTAGAAGCCTCCAACACCCAATGGGTCGACCACCTCCCGATGGTATTAGGGGCTTACCAAACAACAGTGCAGACAACCATCAATGAAACTTCCTTCAGCCTCACCTATGGAACCGAAGTGATGGCTCTAGTCGAGATCAACCTTCCTTCGGCCAAGGCTAAACTCCTTAACCCAGATCAGAATGATTGATTCCTACTCATCAATCTTGATCTTCTTGATGAAAGAAGGGATGAGGCATTGCAACACATTTTTTCCTACAAGAGGAGCACTGCACGATACTATAACCAAAGGGTCAAAAGAAGAAGTTTCAAGTAAGGCAACCTATTACTCAAAAAATTACTCACAACAAGAAAGGATCCTGCCCATGGGAAGCTCGGTCCAAATTGGGAAGATCCATATATAGTGAAAAAGGTGGTTCAACTAGGCAACTACGAGCTGTAAACCAAGGAGAGAAAGAACCTGCAACACTCCTGGAATGTTGATCATTTAAAGCGATACTACCCATAGGATTGATTTTTCATGAGTAGTTGTGAAGTCTAAAACACAGAAAACAATTGTAAAAACCCAACTTCCAATCAATGAAATTTGAAATTTTTGCTGGCAAATTTGAATGAAAGGCTTTCCCTCAATCAATGTTGCAAGCTCCTCAGTCGCACAACCTCGACTAGGTTTTTCAACCTAAGAGCATTTCACCTCAATCGACCGTAGGCTCCTTAGCCTTCAAAGAGTTCTTTAACTCTCAAAGGTGTGAACTCTTCAATCGCATAATCTCAACCAGGCTTTTCAGCTCGGTTGACCACAAGCTCCTCAGCATTCAAAGAGTTCTTCAACTCTCAATGACGCGAGCTCTATAGCTGCACAACCTTAACTAGGTTTTCAACCTAAGATCTTTTTAACTCAGTCAACTATAGGCTCTTTAGCCTTTAAAGAGTTCTTTAACTGTCCAAGGCGCAGGCTCTTTAGTCGCATGACCTCGGCTTGGTTTCTCAACCTAAAAAGATTTTTAGCCCAATCGATCACATGCTCTTCAACCTTCTGAATTTTTTAAGGAGTTCATCAACTCCACTAGTTCCTCAGCCAAAGAACATAACAATACGCCATGGAAAGCATATCAACAAAACAAAAACAACAGAACGAAGGAACCACTTTACATTAACAAACGCCAAAAGAGGATTACAAGAAACACAACAAAATGTTTAAAATGCTAGATCCCTCCTCTTCAGCGCGGTGACCTCTCCTTTCAGCCGAGTATTCTCTTTCTTCAGCTTATCCTTCTACTTCTCAGCCTTTAAGAGCTACCTCCTCAACAGAGCCAACTCGAACACCATCTTCAGCTCAGCAACTGTAAATATTCTCTTGCTAGATGAGGGGTCCAAGGAAGGAGAATGGGGGTGACCCTCGCCCTTTCTTCCTCCACCTTCTCGAGGAACTAGGAGTGTCTTTCTTAAACCCTCAGACGGAAGGTCCTCAACAATGACATGAGGAAGGGTAATTGAAAAGTATGGCGGCAGAGATGACAGTTGGGTCGGGGCCAAGCCCCAACCTAAAAAGGTTTTGAGTTGTGACTAGGGTAGAAAAGGGAATTGCCTCAGCTTGGCTAAGGTGGTAGACCCTTGCAATCTCATCCGGAGTCATCCTAGAGTCACCTACATCAACACAAAAGCCACTAGCATCAAGAAAAAGAGGTACAACACAAGGGTGTCTTTTTTACTTGGAAAAATAGGCTAACTCCTTACCTCTACTAGGAATGCATCCCCAAGATCGAGGCACACAAAGATGGTTTATGTGTGCCTCATCAAATTCCTAGGTGTCCACGTAAAAAAGGAAGAAACATTGCAACCACCCCTCAGGGGAGCCAGGGTGTTGAGGACCAACATTGGGACTTGTAACCTCCATGTGAATCGGTAGTAGCAGGGAGAAAATTCATCGTCAAAATGAAAGAAATAAAGTAACTCAAAAACAGAGAGGAAATGGTCATGTCCATGAATGTGCCAGAAGACTAAGAAAATCATAAGGGTGCCCCACTGTTTTGGTGAGAGCTGTGAGGGGCAGAGCCCAAAAGAGGCTAGAATCCACTTGATTAGCAGGTGAACGGGCAGATGGAGCCCTATCTTAAATGCACCCTTAAAGAAGCAAACATTCCTTTAAAGAAGAAGGTCGCAAGGCTCATCAGAACTAGGGTATCGAACATCTACACCCATAGGAAAATGGTATTGCCTTTTAATTTCCTTTGCCTCTGCTGCTGTCACAGAGTTGGGAAATAGGAAAATGACATATCAAGGATTGTCTATGAGAATAGAAGCACACTGTTTGAACAAAGAAGAAGCCGAGGAAGCCGTGAAGAAACAAGAAGAATATTAGCCAAGGAAAACACCCAAAAGAGATAAATGCTCGAAAGTGAAAGATAGTTTGAACAACAAAGTAGCTAATTTATGGGGGGCAAAGGGAGATATGCATTTAATGAGTTTGAGACAGATGCAGAGCTCGGACCCTCCATAACTACTCTGAGTTCGAGAAAGATATGGAGCTCAACTCAATTCACATATTCAGCCATCTAGTCCATGACAAGTAATACGATAAAGAATGCGAACTCAACTCACAAATTCGGCATGATCAACGAAAATATGCTCCAACCAGGTCAAAACCTCCTTGGAGTAGGGGGAAAGGGAGATAAGTGAAATCAAAAATGAGGTTTTTCTTGATTTGGATTAGCCACTTAAAATAATTAATTAATTCATTCTTGACAATCTGTCAAAAGATGAGTACCCACACGCAATGAATAGAATGGAACCTATTCCTAGTAGGGTACTAGAAGATCTTTTAAGATCTCAGCTGTTTCCAGAAGAAAGAGTCTTAAGTACAGGCGAGTACGAGAAAGAAAATCTCCATTTCTACAACAAGGAGAGAATAAGCCCTGATCTTCCTATTTCATAAGAAAGGATCAATGAAAGTCGTAGTTCATTCCATAAGCATTGGATGCTAAAAGAGGTCGCCTCATTTCATTAAAAGAGACAATTACATACATTTCAAATTTGCATACATTTAAAAAAAAATGAGAGGAAGAAGGAGCATGTAGGAGCAGAGGTCCTCAAGGCTTCGAGGTAGTTAGATCGACACACCACCGCCAGGGAAGCCTCTAGGTGGAGGGTAAAATTAAGGCTTAAACTTGTCAAAGTTGAGATTGGAGAACTTTTCAATGGCTTGCTCCTCAAAGTTGAAGAACCCATCCACAAAGGCTTTGATAGCTTCTTTCTTCAATTTCTCTATCTCCCGCTTCTGATTCTTAACCAGCCACTGCTACATGCTTAACAAATCCTCCAAGTCATCAATTACTGCATCGGACTAGGCTAGCTGGGACGTTAGCTCCATGTTCTCGGCTTGTGTGTTCACTAGCTCATCTTCTCCTTGGCTCAACTGACCTCGCAAGGAGATCTCTGAAGTGGTGCTAGCAATTAATTGTCGAAAGACCTAGGCTCTCTGCTCGAGGGACATCTTCAGCTCAGTCTCTAACCTTGCACCCCAACACAGCAGCTCAGCCAACCTTGCCTCTCTTCTCTATATCGCCACCTTCAAATGGTGAATCTTCCACCCTAAAGTGCAGGCATGAGTTATAATCGGAAAGCAAACTAAAAAGGTAAGTTCTTGCAAGGCTAAAGTCAAAATGGGTAAGGCGAAAGGTCAAAACATCAAGAAGAGCATACAAATAATCTCGAGTTCTGGCCCTGAAAAGGAGGTTGACGAAGTGGCAGAGGTCGGCTGGAGAAATCATCTCTATGAAAGTTAGGCTAGCCTTAGCCATGTCATCTGACAAACTCCTGTTGGAACTTCTAACCACAATCAAATTCAGACGCCTTGAGTTGGAGCCTTCCACACCCCTGGAGGGAGGACCACGTCACACTAGGCCCACCTCGGGATTAATGGACACGACCCTGTTGGTGACCTTTCTGGTGGTTGGTAAGGTCGAGGCCCGAACTTGAAGGCTCAGCGCGGGATGATCCTTAGCTACTCTCGCCCTCTTAGTAGGAGGCTCAGGGTCCCGTGCGGACCTCCTTTGGCCCACTTGCTCCACGATTGCATCACTCTCACTGACCAGGTATGTAGGGGCTAAGAAAATAAGACAATCGAGTGAGCAAATCAAGAAGGCCTCACAAAAGACAAGGTAACCAAACTTTGCAAGAAAATTAGGTACTTACTACTTGGGATAACGGATGGCTGGGGTCCCATCAGGTTGACATAAGGGATGGGGCCATGAGCTTGAGCTGGTTCGACCAAAGATCATGTTTCTCTAGTTAAGCTTGGGTACTTATCTGACGATGAAAGACAAAGTTAAAACCATAGACACAAATGATGGTAGCTTAGTAGAAGAAAACTCACAAAGACAAGAAAACTCACCCAGATGAGCATGATGCCCCCAAACCGTGGGAATGCAAACCGACAAGAAATTTAGGATGTAAACTCCCAACCCATTCCAGACACAAAGAAAAACCTTCAACTGCAACCTTTAGGCTCGAAAGGAAGGTCAGAGATAGGAGTTTCTCCTCCTCTTCTCTCGATGAAGCAATAGAACCCAGACAACTCCATGAGACAAAAAATATTGAGAAACTCTACCAGAGAAACTCGTGGCCTCCTGACTAGACATTCCCATAGGATCTGGAACACTAGAGGGATAGCCCATCCTTTCGGCAATAGCTTGGCAGGATAAAAACTAAAGAAAGGAAGAACTTCCCTCACAAAGGGAGGAAGGGAAAACCTGAGGCCTAGTTGGAAGGGGACCTCAAAGAAGCAAACTCTATACCCCAAAGACCGGTGGTAGGGATTGAGAATTGATACCCCCATAGGAAAATCATAACAACTTGACAATGCATGGGTCTCTGCTGCATCAATCACACTAGCCTCGACGTTAGGGAAAAATTTCTCATAGGGTGTCATACTCGAAAGTAAAAAGTTGAGGCATAGTGAGAACTTAAGAGAAGGGTCCAAAAAATTGGGATGGAAAATTTGCTAGAGGATGAAGTAGAGGATACTCAAGCAAAGTGGTGAAAGCCTACAAAGAAGGTGCACAATATTTAAAGGGAGTTTTGACAGTACAAGTCCCTCAAGAAAAGGAGTAACAAATGCATGTCCATTGCATTAATTGCACCGACCGTGTGTCATAAAACATAGGGAATAAGCGCAACTTTTGAGGAGGCACTTTCTTCATCATAGGCACATAGCCTCAAGTGAAGAAAATCGACAAACTTGGAGGACACAAAAAAGATAAGATAAAAGGTCTAAAATGACCCTAATGATCTAGAATAGTTTGGGCACGAATGCTTAGCTCAAGCTTTAAAGAAATAAGTTCCCCAAATCCTTCATGAGACAAACCCCATTAGACCGTGAAGTGTTTGGGCTCGTAGGGAAGAGCCTTTCAAGAGAGTGGATCAACCAGGTTGGGACTAGGCAGGCTTGCTAAGCAGCTCAACCATGAGTAAGAAGTCAATCACCTCTCCAACCCGGGGGGTCCTCACTACTGCAAATTAAAGTTAATAAAACTCAGAGGAATGAAGTTTACCCCTCTCATCCTTCAAGACTAAGAGCCCTGAAGGGTGAAACAAAAGAGAAGGGGACAAAGAGAGAGAGAACAAATAGGAAAGCACATAAGCCATCCAGAATGAAAAGAGCAATAGGAATGAGGCATTAAAAGCAGCAGATAAAGTTAGAGTTACACAAATTTTATTACAAATCAAAACTACGAGTATTAGATTACATATCACCATGAAATCCTACAACCTATGAACGTAAACTATGCAGCAGTCTCTTCAGCGCTGGCCCCCTCTACAGGCTCCTTAGGCTTTAACGTCTCCAACTCCGGCATAAAGGAATCTAGGTCTGGGTTGGGATACGACCTCTCGACCTATTCTTGAAAATTCATGAATCCTTGCACGAAGTCAGAAGCATTCACCTCAAGGAACTCCGCAATCCTCCCATCTCTAGCTTTCAGCTTCCCTACTTTTGCCTTCAGCTCCTCCTCTTTCGTCTTCAGTTCACCGTCTTTCTCCTAGATAAAGTCACCAGCCTCCTAAAGACTAACATCCAGTGCGGCGCTAGCCCTCTTCATCTCCTCTAGCTCGGCGACAAGGATGTCGTTCCTCTCCTCGGCCAAATCTCTCACTGCCTTAGTTGTATCCGTAGCATCCAACACTCTTCCCAACTCGCATTCCTTTGTGGCCAAGTCCTTCCCAAGCTGTGGCTCAGCAAGTTGAGCCCTCTGAAGTTTAGAGCGAATAGGAACCTACTCGAAGGACTAACCAGCTAGCGTGCTCAATACGCTGGTGGTGGAACTCCATCACCTTGATGTAAGCTATGGCCTAGCAACAAATATATATACTGTAATAAAAAAAGGGGGAGAGCCCAAATGTCGCACTCCAGGGAGTAAGAAAATGACACGTTACCTCAGCTAGACTTTAGGAACCAAGTCAGCCAGCGCGTCCACATCTGCTACAAAATCGCAAAGGAACCCACTGCCCCTTATATCCACTCTGGGAGGGCCCTTTGTAGTCCCTACGCTTTCAGGGCGCCCAACTGGAGGAGAAGCTGGAGTCGTCTTGTGGGGCTTAGCTCCGACAGTCTTGGGTCCACCTTTAGGAGGTAGCTTAAGTGATGAAGAAGGATCAAGGGCGGCCTCAGGGGAGATCAGGTCATCCTTTTCATGCCCCGTTTGGATGCTGGCTAACTTTGGCTTCTTAGGAGAAGGGAGCTCAAAAGTTTTTGTCAAATTCATCTTGCTTTTCTTCTCGTCAACAAATTTGGCCACTATAAGTTCAAGATCCATCTTGTCAGGGAAGGTTCAGGCAATGTTTCAATGGTGGTGGTCTGAGTAGACAACGTTTCCATAGAGGGCCCTAACCCGTATTCGGCAAGCTTCTCCTTGCTAGGCTTCAACTAAGGCCACTCTCCTGGCCTTTGCAGCATCCATAGAAGGGTGGAAACCTGTAGGCGAGATAAAGACAGGTTAGATATATGTCAACAACACATTTAATAGGCAAATCTTTAAAGGATGTTCTCACGTGTGTTTCTTGGGACCCCTCAAAATTTGGGAACACGGGGAATATCACCGGATGTTTTTGACAACTTTGATATATCACATCAGACAAAGAATAACTTTGGTTTCCACCCTTTGTTGTAAGAAGGAAGCCTAGAAATTAGACTTTTCACCTTAACCTGATTGGCAAAGTAGAAAAAGACTAGAGTAGGGGAAGACTTAAGCTAGAAAAGGTGGGCAAACTCATGAATGGTAGGTGGAAAAGTGTTCTCACTTTCATGCCAATGGATGAGAAGACCAACCAACAAGACTCAACCATTGGAAGAAACCCAAGCTGAACATATATTTTAGAAGACGAGAACATCTCGAATGAAGGGATGAATAGGAAATTTGAGTCCAGCTCAGAATGCTGAGGTGAAAAAATAGGTAATCCTAGGAATAGATGAGCTGCACCTCTCGTTCTTTTTGGGAGAATGAAGCAGGATAAAAGTAAGAAAGAAGTATTCCTCCCTCAACGGCTCCAAGTCACCCCTCGTCGATATGACTATAAGTCAACTTGGCACAGAGATGAGGTCAAAAAGGTCTTGATGAACCTTTTTCTTTTTAGGGCCAGAGGAAATTGGAGCCCTTTTGGACCCCTTGTGCTTGGCACGACTTAGGACAGCTAGGGGCAAAGCCAACGAAGGCTTATCAAAACAACTAGAATAGAAGCCACGAGAACTAACTAGTGATTCCCTGAATCTGACATCCTAGAACGAAACTCAAACATCTTTACTAAAACCAACGAAAATTGGTCATCACCAATTGGTAGAGTATCATCGACAGAGGGCTCCACGCTACTGTGGGGAGACGAAGCCTCTTCAACACAATCACTATTGAGGGAGGCCGAAACCTCCTTAACACTCTCACAATTTTCCTCTCCAGACATAAATTCATAAGAAGAATCAGTTATAACTCTCCCCATTGGGGCTTCAAATTGTAACCCAGAATGCAAAGATGGCAGATCCAAAGCATAATCGGTAATAAATAATGGCACTAAACACCAAGATATGATCAAAGTCAGCCTTAACAGGAAGGGTGTAGTCAACAAACCTCAAAAGAAAAGCAAAACTGCTAGATTGACACTGGAAATAACTAAACCTCTAAATAGTGAAACATAACCTAGGGTGTCACCAGTTAGGGTTAAAGAGATCTAGAACGAAAGAAAGAGAACAAATAAGATCACTTCACAGAAAGAATGAATGCATAGAAATCTCAGAATCATCGAAAGAATGAGGTAACACCCTTTGAGTTTAGAGAGGAGGAAATGAGCCTGAAAAGTTAGAAGTTTGAAATAAAAGTTGAAAGGTGAAGGGCCTTCCCCCCTTTTTTCATATCATTTATTACCAATATTAGACGTGGGAAAGAATTGTACCAAGGGAGCCCTCTCCTCGTGACATTTTTACTCTCCTGACACGTCTCTCAAATCGGAGCAAGTATAGGGGACTGAGCCCAAAACCCACTGAGCTTGCAGAAGGTGGCCCAAGTAACTCATCCAAACAACATCTTTTGGGTACGAACTGGGCTGTAACATAGTTCTAGAAAGGCTAGATGTTGACGAGCTCGGTATAGGTACCAACTTGGTAGATGGGAGCACCTCACTGGGCCATCCTACAAAAGCTATAGCTTGACACATAGACAATGGAGAACGAAACATTACTTGATGGCTATGATGAACAAAAACTCATAGGTAGTGGAGACGGGTCACGTACTGTAGTCGGCGAGTAGTGGGTGTAGAAAGGCGTCGAGGACCACAACTCCAAGACAAAGGCAAATACAGAGGGGACCACAGAATCAACAAAAAAGAACCAACACGAAACCCTAACTATCTGATGTTTAAATAGCCCACAGTGCTGCAGTGCACGGAAGGGCCATTCAGAATGCTACTAAGTGAACCTAAGCAATATCTTGTAAAATGATTCAAGCCAAACACCTTGCAATAGCAATCTTTTTCCCCAAAAAATAGAATTCCCAAGGAGCAAGAGCCTCCCTTACACTGGATGTAACCTTAGTTTTTTGGCTAAGGCGAACCACTTACATCATTGCCTTCTTCTTGCATCATACACACAGCACACATGCACACACTCTCGTATACATGTACACACACTCGTTGGGCCACATCCCAGCCTATTTTGCAGTCCAATCCAGTCGATTTTGAGCACCATCAAGTTCCATGGTCAAATAACCATGAAACAAGAAAAAGTAGGCTACCCTATAATGTGGATTCGCGGACAAAGAAGAAAGAAATTAAAGATGCATGTGAAATATGAGATAATTGCTAAATGAATAATGACAAACAATGTCCTAAAACTACTAAAATAAACAATCCATAAAGGATTTTCATTAAGCTCACCTGAAACCTCCTAGAACCACTATAACTCACTTTTGTTGTCATTGGATGTAAAGTATTGAAGGTGACATATTTAAAAGAAATAATTTGAGTTAGAAACATACCATAAAATTGGAGGTGGGGGAAACTCGAAAATTTGAAAGCGTTCAAGGAGACTCTAAAAACATCTCATGCATTCATTTTTCCTGTTGAATTTGTATCTCGTCTGTTCGTCTAGCAACAATAATACCAAATACAACACATTAAAATTATGTTGATCTTGATTCTCCTCTGTGTGTGTGTGTGTGATTGAGCATAGAGAGCTTGAAAGGGAGAATACAGAGAGATTTTTTGTTTGTGGTATTCCAAATATAGTAGAATTAGTTATTGAAAATTTTGATTTATATCATGCAATTAGAATAAATAGTAATAGTGAAAAACGAAACATTTACAGGTACGAAACAGTTACAGATACGAACAAAACAATTATACAATAAATTTATAATTTAAACAATGGGTAAATAGACCCGTTTGCAGAATAGAAAATTGTTATTTAACTTTAAGTAGATCAAGACTAGTGTTTGATACTATATCCTCAAGATAGATTTTGCATTCACACGCGGTGTTTATGGAAATCAAAGCGTCTGTCTCCCAAGATATAATAATCTTCACGCAAATAGAAGTAACACTTAAATCTACTCGTCCAATGAACCAAGAATTATGTTGTGTACTCTCCAAATGTAGATTGTCTTAATGCCGAAATGTAATGTACTAATACATGTTTTAACTCTGAAATATAATTGATGCAAAATAGTAACGAGCCTGGGTTTATATAGACAAATAGGTGACTATTTTGGACAGCTACCATGCGAAAAGACACAACTTAGTAGACACATATGCGATTAGAAAACACCAATGTGTAACTGTTCTTTATAAGTAGACACTACTCAAAAATTCGGATTGGAAGGAAGACAAAATCTGAACCAGTGTGAATTTAAATCAAACAGGTATTGAAATTAAATTCCGTTTTAGATATTCACGCTCAATTCATTAAACGAATTTTTCTTAAAAAGATAAGACTTGATCTAACCCACTTCCGCACCTAACCCTACCGGGTCGTGGCGAGCAAGCGGCGTGCGCATGTGTGGTAGAACAGAAGACATGTAGGTGTTCGCTCCGCTCATAAAACTGTGCCAATGTAGAACTTCTTCCTTAACCAATGTGGGATTTATGTCAAATCCCACATTACACAATCTCTATTTTTACATTCAAAAAGTGTCCCTTTAGAGCCTATTTTCACATTAATTTTTTATTCGGTTTGAGCAAGTGAATATACTACGTTATTCTTTTTACGGAATATAACACAAACCTATAAAAATTTACTCGAAATAACGAATGAGTCACACTTTAATTTAGGCTCAAAATTGACTAAAAATTCACTTTTTATATTTAAAAAACTATTTTGGTCGAACAAGACTGAGACTTGATTCAAGCTCTTACTGGAATCTAAATCTCGCTTTAGTCATTAATGACAATGAACTAGTGCTCGCTTCAATTTGGTGATGGTGCAATGGACAAAGGACGATGGAAAATCAAGAACACTGGAATGACGACGGGAACAACAACGAGAGAAGGACTGGAACGATTGAGAGAGTTTGAGAAAGGAGATCATCTAGGAGAGGGATTGAGGAAAAAAAAGACCGATTGGGTAATTTTTTTTTATTATAGGGTGTCCAGACTTATACTGATTACTCACTCGAGTTTTAAGACTGACCAACGTAGCTCGAGTTTGATTTTATTAACTGAAATTAGTTTGTTGCCCAAATTAAAAAATGAAAAATAAATTGTTTTCAACAACGACAATTTTTTTTGTAGGCAAAACTAAATTTGTGGGAAAAATATTTTTGGAATTAAGTTGAAAGTATGTGTTGAGAAAATTATATTTTCTCGGTATAAAACACCTTTACTTACGAAATTAATTTTCTAGGTAAAACTATTGTAGGCAAACATAAATTTCACAAGTAACCTCAAAAATTATAAATTACCCCTCAAAAATTATAAATGATCCTCAAATATTGTAAATGATACTTAAAACTTGTAAATGACCCTCATAAGCTATAAACTACTCGTTGCAACGGTACATTACAAAAAAAAACTTTTTGATACCGTAAATTTCTCCTATGTTTAATCCATGGATTGTATATTATTTTGCATGGGAAGAATAGTAACCTATCTTAGCTCGGTCCCCAACCTAGAGCTTTATAGGCCTAACATGATGCGTAGATCATTGACCAAAATTTGATTCTCCAACAATGTAATTTTTGATGATAATAATGACAAATAGAAAGCAAATATAATAAGTTCCATACGTCATCGAGAGAAGAATTTGTACCATTTTCTTAGTTTATTATTTGAAAATCGATGAAAGAACAAGATGAAGTTCTGTCTGTTAATGAAGGACCACATAAGGGCAATCCTCTAGCAAAACCAAAACGATAGGATACACTCAACCACACATTTCCTCTCTAGTTCCTTTTTTTACTCCAATAATGCTATTGGTTTGATATTATTTTGTAAAATAGATCTATTGGCTTCATCTACGATTGTTTTTTAGATTGACAGTGAACTATATCTAATTTAGAGACCCACTAATTTTAGATTGACAGTGAACTATATCTAATTTAGAGACCCATTAATGGTTCAATATTAATAACGACAACCTTTTTTTTGTCATTAATATTAATAAAAATAAAAATCAAATAATTCTTCTCTTCGTAGAGATGTAGCATCATAGTCCTGCATTGTGCTAGACTAGGGTTTCAAAAAATTTGTTTTTTCACACAATGTCTCCATTTTTCAAGCAATGAAAAATTTGTAGTTCAAAATTATTTTCGATGGTTTTTTTTTTAAGTATGATGTTCTTGTCCTCCATCATCTTTGGAGGACAATAAACATGGTACTTAAAGAACATGAAAATAATTTTTAACTATAAATGTTTTGTTTTTTGAAAAATAAAGACATGATACGAAAATACAAAATTTTCCGAACCCTAGTCTAGCACAATCTAGGACTATGATGCTACTTCTGTGCAATGGTATAATTTGGTTTAGCTATCTCTAGAATGAGTCTAATACTTTGGTTTGCTATAAAAGGCAGATTAAGTACCGGGGATAGAATGCAATCATTTGCAACTCATAGGGGATTTATTATGTAGAGAGACAACTGAAAGCTACTCTCATCTATTTTTTTTTTCTTGCTCCTTCTCTACCAGTTGATGGAGCCATATCATGCAGTCATGTTTTACACAATTACAACATAGATCATGGCATGAATTGATTCTATGGTCAAGCAATCACTGGAGAGGGAAATCATTGATAATGGTGTAATAAAAAATGAGCCTTGCAGCTACAGTTTACTATTTATGGAGGGAGATAAATAATCACATTTTTAGCAACAAATTCACTGATAGAGCAACTTTGTTACAGAATATTATGCACACAGTGAGGGGTCACATCGCTTCGGTGAAGTTTAAAGCATCCCCAATGAACCTGCAGCTCTCACAAGCATGGAACCTCCCAAGTTTCTGCTTAGAATGAAAGAAATTTCTCTGATTGTAATGGGTCTGAGGTGAGGGATTTGGATGGAAGTTTAGGCTCAAGGCCTCCACTTCCTTCTAAATTCTATCTCCTGTGACCTATTATTTATATTCCATCTGTTTTTTGGTTTTAAAATGGCCATTAATTGCTCTTTCATGGCCTGTTTTATCAATTGTTTTGACATGGTGACTAGGAATGCCCCATGTTATTCTTTTGTAAAAGTCATTCTCGTTACTTATTTGCTTTTTTTGATCAATTGAAATTTTTACTTTCCAAAAAAAAAATGTTATTGTCCTCCTAGGATTTTTGTGAATTCCACAGTCATGCATGTCATACCACTACAATTTTTTTTTTTTTATTTTGCTGGGCAACATATCATTACTAATGAAACCTAACAGACCTTGATAGATATTTCCATAAATTAAAGTATGGTCATGAACTTATGATAATTCTCAACTACCAGCAGTTCTAAATTAATAGAATTAAATATGATGAGTAACTCAGAACAAATTATTATGTAGTAAGGTGATGCATGTGTGGACGATGTACTATGTCGGATATTCAACTGTTAAGCTTACAGTGAATTAGTTAGGTTTAAATCTCTCTCTCTCTCTCTCTCTCTCTCTCACACACACACACACACACACACAAACAATATTCTAGAAAATTGCAGACGCAAAAAAAAATGTTTTGTATATACTCCAACTGAATGTCTCCTTTGTATATGAACATGCAAACATGTCATGACTTGGTTACCATTTGGGTAGCACAAGAATGCTTGTTTAGGAGTTCACCAACCACTTGTTACTAACTGGGTAAATTCCTAAGTTTTTGTCAAATTACACAGCAACCCCCAGACATTTCAATAATAACACACAAAGTCACATGTCTCTATACCATCACACTTACATTCGAATGCAAAATGCAACAAAACCCATTTCACCAACATGGTCTTAGACCCTAACCCAAATGTTAAAATAATAAAATCTGGGATACCTTCACCTGCCCTCTATCTCTAAAACCAACAAATATGGGTGGGGACAGGAGAGAGGGCTGCGGGATGGGAGAGGGGGCTGCGTGGCGGAGGTGGGAGTGGTAGGGAAGGTTGGCTATGCCATTGAATCAGGAAGGGACTGGCTAGGGTGGGAGGTGGGATGGGAGGTAGCTCTACATTTGACTAATGGAGGGACAGGCTATTGTGCATAGTTTTTCGGATTTGGGAATGGATCTGGATGTGGGTATGGTTTAGGTATTGAGTTTTATTTGTTAAAACATTGACATCATTGGATAAATAGTAAGTTCTTTGATGAGATTTACAGTCAATTTAAAGGTTATAGTAAATCAAATCAAGTCAGTAAATGAGATTAGATTTTTAAATTCAAATAGCATTACTCTTAAATAAAAGACAAATTTTTTTTTCCTAAAATCAGTAATGCATGTCAGATTTTAGTATTGATTAGAGTCACCGTGTCATTTTTGAAATGTATAGGGGTGCCCGTATTATTTGACCAAAGAATAGGGGATTCGTGAGAAATTTTTACTAATAATAAAAGTGTTGATCTTATCACCCATGAGGATGCCCTAGGCAATAAAATCCCACCTCTCCCCCATTTGCTCCTCAAGAAGACAACTACCAAAGTCTTTCCCTATCTAAATACTACCTGCGCCATCGAATCACTTGAATCAGATGCAAAGCTGGTTGCTTTCTTAGAACTTTATCAATCATCTAGCTACTGATTCTAAAAACCGTATCAATTGAATGGCTATTAAGTTTTAGGTCCAATCTTTTTGTTTTTTCTTCTTCTTTTTTACTCTTTCTTTCCCTTTTTTATGTTTGTCTTCCAGAGTAGCTAGGGAATTAGAGACATGGGGCCTCTAGCTAGCTAGGTTAGTTTCATATTCTATCCCATACTCAGCTTCAACAATGCCGGTTAGTCCTTTCTCATCAATCAAAAACAAGTTTAAATGCTTAAATGGTCCACAATGGAGATTCCAAAGGAGAGGTGCCAAACTTGATTGACTAATAAATCAGTGGCTGATGCTAAGCTCTTTGGAAGATACTATTCCATTATTGTTATAAATTGATGCATAGTGACCTCCTTCTCCATAAACTTCCTTTACCCTTAACAAGGTCATAGGAGCTCTCTCTCTCTCTCTCTCACACACACACACACACACACCCGGTTGGCCGCTGAAAATGGATGTGACACTTTGTTCTATTGCAATGTCCTTTGCGGTGATTGCATTACTTACATGGGCCTGGAGAGTAGTGAATTGGGTGTGGTTGAGACCAAAATACATAGAGAAGTGCCTGAGACAGCAAGGTCTTTGTGGAAATTCCTACCGGCTGTTGTATGGAGACACAAAGGAAATGGCAATGATGAGAAAAGAAGCAAAACGTAAATCCATTGACTTGTCTGACAATATTCTTCCCCGGGTTTTGCCATTTTACCATCACATCATCAACAAGTACGGTATGTAACTTTTTTCCTAACTTTTCTCCTTTTATTTTCAGTTATATTTCATATATGTTGTGTGTATATGGGGGGAGAGAGAGAGAGAGAGAGAGAGACTTTATGAGTACATGCGTGGAAGCCATAGCTTTGCATAGGCAGCTCTAATAGTTTCCAGCACATTAATAACGAGTTACAAAAGCTATTTCACCTATATTCCTTTAATTAATATTGTCATAGATTTATTGTTTATAAACGATTTTATTTAAACTACAGATTAGCGAGCTAGCTAGCATATATGTCTTCCAAAATCTTCTCTACAAGCCTCAGAAAATGCTTCAGCCAAAGGAGTAGTCATGAAAGGACCCCACTCTATAAATCTCTTCTTTTTTATTTTTTTTTCCTGCAATGCATATGTAATTTTCATCAGACCTGCGTACCAAGTTTTTGTCATGTGAAAAATTTATATCAAAAACAAAGTCTAAGTTGAGTGACAGCGGTGGTTTACCCTACAACGGATGTCTATCGGGATAGTCGATAAGTAGTATGAGATGTACCAATTGTAATATACTTACAGTGCCAACTAATTTAGTGAGAAAAGATGTGTAGTTTCTAAGTCTACCTTGGATCTAGAATTATTGATCAAACACATGATCAAAATTTATCTGTCCCACCCATTAAAGAGGAAAAATGTATGCATCACTATATCTCTGATGTTTTTTACAATTTTATGTGCTCCAATGCATTGTAGCCCGCATGTTTTTGGTACCATTCGAATGATTTTACGTAAGAGTTTCAGTTGAGTTGAGTTGTGTTGTGTTACTTTCATGTTGAGGGATTTCAAGTCATGTGATTTTGATTCGGGTTCGTGTCGGTGTTCATGTTTTTATTTCCTTATCTAGTATTATACTAGATAAATGGTTTTTTTCATGCCTAACAATCATCTGACCAATTTATCATTCTTTTTAATGGGTTGTGTTATTTTCCGGTTTGAGTTGTGTGTGTGTGTTGGATAATAGATAAAATAGACATCTCTAATTTTATGTTGTGGGGGTTGTCATGATCAAGCAAATTTCACTATACTAAACTTAGCTACTAGCTACCTCAATATCAAGGTTTGTATTGGAAATTCTTTTCCAGTTATCGCCACTCTTCAAAATTCTGGTGTTACTAATTTTCCTTTTGTAAGTCCTATAACGGGATTTAAGAGATATGTGATAGCTATAGTTCAATAGTTTTGATATTAAGGGTGAACCAACTATAGTGACCGTTCTTATTATATCTATCCCTTGGTTTCGAAACTTCAGCCATTCCCCCAATATAAATATGTTCTTGTTACATTTCAAACAAAAAACTTAATATTTAGGTTCGATATTTCGTAGTTACGACAGTTCGTTGGGACTAAAACTATTCTTCAGCATCCATACCACACGGTAGGGTTCCCTACAAATAGATGTATTATGCTGAGAGATAATACTCCCTAGTGAATATGAGGATTGACTTATCTATATATCCATTTTATGTATCAAAAAAAAAAAAAAAAAAAACAACAACAACAAAACTAATAAATTTTATTCTAGAGAAAGATTTTAGTTTTCTTCATATGTTTTTTAGTTATTATCAAATAATTACATAAATCCACCTTATAGTCGCTTCTATGACTTCAATAAGTCCATGACACTCATTCAGTTTAATAGATCCTATGCTTTTCCTTGTTTTATCTCTCCACGGTTGAATGAATTGTTACATTTTTTCAGTTGTTAAATCAAGTTTTTGTAGTCTCCAAATATGTAAAGACTTGAAGGAAAAAAAAAAGTTTTTGGTATCTGTAGGCTTCTTGGCAATTGAGATGAGAAGATAATGTAGGTTGGTCCACCTAGTATCTGTGCCTTGGTGGTCCAAAGCTATTGCGTTGGGTCCGAACCTAGTACTCGACAAAAGATGAGAGATTTAGGTGACAAGCCTACAAAAGCCTATGCTTTATTATAAGCAGAATAGGATGTCTCCATAATTGGGCTCAAAAATGATTCCATGACATGTAAGATGGCTACAAAGCTGTGGTCACCCTATGTGGTCCAAAGAGAAAAAAAAGAAAAGAAACTAATGCATGATCAACAACCATATATGCATCAATAGTCACCATCGTCCTCACTCTTACCATAATCACCGTCATTAACATCTATCATAACCATAAGTGTTGTCACCATCACTATCACCGTCGTCATCACTTTTACCATTATTACCACCTCATTCACCATCACAATTGCCACCAACACCAGCACCACCCTCACCATCACCACTGTGACCACCAACATCATCATTATCCGATTTATAATCACTAACATAGCCACCATCACATCCACCCCGAACTTCATTATCACCCCGTCCAACCTGACCTTTGTCGCCACTAACATCGTCACCACAATTGCCACCATCACTACCCACCACCACTTCCACCACTACCGTGGCAATAATCAATTAGTGGAAACAGTGGTGAGATGGTGGTGGTAGTAGAGGTAATGATGGCAATGATGTTTGTTAGGGTAGGGTTGTGCTACATTGAGGGTGGAGGTGATTGGATGATAGTGGTAGTATGGCGATGTTTGTGGGGTCCTAGTGACCATTCCGGCAAGGTGGTGGTGATGGTGGATGCTAGATGGTGTAGTGTCGATGGGTTATTAGGAGTTAGGCAAAATTAGAAAATCAGTAGTTTTCAGACTTTATGTTCTAGTACTTGTTTAACAGTTTAATCTAAGTCATTATTTAAATTTTAGTACATGCTAAGTAACATTCAAAGTAGGATATTCAACATTCAACACTTAAAATTCAATATTCACTTTCAAATACGTACTTTTGCATTTTATGTCTTCTAAACCTGACTGCTGAGTCACAAAAATGCAGGTAAAAATTCATTTTCATGGATAGGACCAGTGGCCAGGGTGAACATCATTGAACCTGAACTAATCAAAGAACTTCTAACTAACAACTATGTTTTCAAAAAGCCAACCCCAAACCCTCTTGCCAAGTTTCTGGTAACAGGCTTGGGAGGCTATGAGGGTGAGAAGTGGGCTAAGCATAGAAAGATTATCAACCCAGCTTTCCACCTAGACAAGTTGAAGGTAATTTTCTTCCTTATTTTTACGTTTCAATTGCAATAATGTGCATGCATGCAAATTCTAGAACTCATTGATTGCTGATGGTGGCATCAAATGGATCTAAAGCCCCTCCAATACCATTTTTCTCTATTTTCTTACTTAGTAAATAATAAATGTATCATTAATGAGTAAGGGACTCACTTGTACAAAATGAGTCTTAGTTGAATTCATAGCCTGTGATTCTCCAAGAAGGTAAATGGACATAACATGTACTGGTGGAGCTCTCAGTCAGCATCAAATTAGAGGAAAAAGGAACAAGAAAATATGGACATCTATTGATCTATGTGGCAGAGTATGTACGGGCTTCCATGACTTCAACGAAAGTCCAGTGAGCAGGACATTCCATATCACTTTACACGTGTCAAAATCTAATTAGAGTAAAAGAAAAGATACGATATCCAAAAATGACATGCGGACCCGAATCACAATATCTTGCAACAGCAAATGTTATACAGAAAAACTTCTAGCTACCCATCAAAAAGATACTTTTCCAAATTCCCTTCAAACTCAAGTTTTCACAACTTCTTTGTACAAACCCATCGGAGTCATTTTTCTTTTGGTTTTCGAATGGGTAGATCTGTTCTTCTTTGCAACTCTCTGATATTTTAGTGCAAAAAACCCTCATTCTCTGACTGTTTAATGGGAAATATGGGCCTTGACAAAGAACAATAGAAAAAAAATAGGATTCATCATTCATGTAGCCGACACCAAATTATTGGGATAAAAGTTTTGTTGGATTGAGTTGTTTAACCCTCATTCTCTTATGTGTTATTTTTTCAAATAACGGAGAATTGTCTTAACCATACTTCTTTTAAATTCATGATTACAATATGACTAACCTGACTTTGTGTTATGTTACAGTGTATGGTACCTGCAATGTATCAGAGTTGTCATGAGTTGATAAGCGAATGGGAGATGCTGGTCTCGAAGAACAGTTGGTGTGAGTTGGATGTGCAGCCTTATCTTCAAAACTTAACCAGCAATGTGATTTCTCGAACAGCATTCGGAAGCAGCTACGAAGAAGGTAGAAACATAATCCAACTTCAGAAAGAACAAGCTCAACTTACCCTCCAAGTTTTGCAGTCGGTCTACATTCCAGGATGGAGGTAATCCAAATTTATAGGTTACTCAGAAATGATACAAAGACAAGTGGTAACAATTTATCACTCACTTTCTCAATCAAACTCTTTTATCGCGTTTAAAGTATGTTTGGTCCTCGTAACTATTATTCCACCACTAAAACCAGACCTTTAGTGTATAATATTGGCGGGTTTAAATTAGGTCCATACAAATTTAGAGTTGATAATATTGTGAGGTCTAAAAGTGTCACTAATCAAACACCGCGTCTAGCGATGTCGGATCACTTTGGATCAATGCAATCCACCTCCTTAGGACCATATGCTCTTGTACAGGACTTGTCCAGACCTAGGGATGTAGATTCCCGGAAATGATTTCCACCATGCTAATTGTCGCCGCCACAAGCCACCGTCTTGTCAACCTAGGGTGCACGGGAGGTGCTATATAGTCTAAGCACTCTTTATATAAACATGTATTTCCACAATATATTCATACCTATCAATTCAAAATTACATAAGTGCATGAATATACATTTTTGAATTTTGAATAAAGCTCATCCTCGCAAGGTCGTGGCTTAACCCAAAAAAAAATATAGTTTGCTTCTGACTTAGCAATTGTAATGTTCATAAAGAAACCCCCAATGAAACCCTCAATATTACAAAGTCATGTTGCAAACTGTAAGGGACAAACTTGAATTCCTGAAATTCAAAAGCTCTTACCTAAATTTAGTAATTGCTGACAAACTCCAATTTTCAAGCAATTGTATTGTGTAACTCCACCTTTTCATTACAGTGTTTTCTTTTTGTATGGAAACTCCATTTTGACAAATCTGTCTGAGTCGTAGCTAATTGCTCACACCTTCCATAGATTTGTGCTCTGTTTTGTTAACATCCATGAATAATACCAGGGAGATGTCCCTACACATTTATATCTCATTTGATATGCAATACACCTTTACTTTCTAGAATGATTCCAATAAATAATATAGTATGATAGATCATTTTAATTTTGAATAATGATATACAACCTAAATGAAAACCAAAAAATTATAATACAAATACATATTATCCCTTGAATGAGTGGGTTCATGAACTTTTTCAGTGAGATCTACTCATTTAATACTCATTTAAGGGATGACATGTATTTGAATTGCAATTTTAGGATTTCATTTGTGTTGTGATACATTTTCCTTTAATTTTATCGTATTGTTATGATCATTCTCTCAGTGGGTGTATTAGTCAAAAATATAACCTTAATGTGCAGGTTTCTACCAACAGAGAGAAACAAAAGAATGAAAGGCATAAACAAGGAGTTGCATGCTCTTTTTACAGGTATAATAAACAAAAAAGAAAAGGCCAAGCAGTTAGGCAAAGCTAGTGATGATGATGACTTATTGAGCATGATGTTAAAATCCAATTGGAAAGAGATTCGAGAAAATGAAAACAAAGAGGATGTTGGGATGAGTATTGATGAGGTGATTGAGGAATGCAAAACATTTTATTTAGCTGGACAAGAGAGTACATCAAATTTGCTCCTATGGACTATGGTTGTGTTAAGCATGTACCCAATTTGGCAAGTTCGTGCAAGAGAAGAGGTTTGGCATGTTTTCGGAAACAATAAACCAGACTTTGATGGGTTAAACCGTCTCAAAATTGTGAGTATTTGACGATTTTTTTTTTTTTTTGCTAGTTGAAAAAGGTAGATGGAGGGACGAGATGTAGGGTGACTATTTTGAAGTTATTATTTCGAAATATTTAAAATTATATACACTGTTTTATGATGCTTATTCAAAAAGTGTACAACAAAACACTTTTTGATATCTGCCCCTCGAGAAGTCAATTAATATGACTTTTGTCTTGCTTTAGGGGTAAAAATACAAACTATATTAGAGTTATTATCACTAAAGAATTAGGGTCTATTGATTTTTGTAACAATAGTGTTTATCATCACAACTAAAAAAACATGTTTTGGAGGAAAAATTTTTTTGGTGGGGGTAGTATTATCATAAAAAAATTATTTTCTACCACAAATATTATTTGAAATTGGTTGTTAATAGCCACAAAGACTTTTTGAGACTTTACTTATTACAATAAAGTGTTGTGACAACATGTCTCGTCATAACAAATAAAGTCTCAAAAAGTATTTGTGGGGTATTGACCATCACAAATAGTATTTGCGATAGTAAATAAATAGTTTATGATAGTCTTATCACCACAACAAAAACTTGTTTTTTCTCCAAAAATACTTTTTTATTTTTTTTGCAATGTTGGACACTGGTCACAAATAGTTTTTGTGACAAAAAATTTTTTCTCCAAAACACATTTTTTTTTTTTTTTAAAATGGTGATGGTGGATTTTATTATCACAAAAAACTTTTCTCAAAAAATCCTAATTATTGTAGTTGTAGTGTATATAGGTGGGTTTTCAAGTTTAAAGACTAAAAACACGTTACATTTTTTTCATTAGATAATGAAAGTTCTTGTTCGCAGGTTACGATGATTTTGTACGAGGTTCTGAGGTTATACCCACCTGCAACTATACTTACCCGAATCATTTACAAAAAGACAAAACTTGGAGATATGACTCTACCTCCGGGAGTACAGTTTTTGTTGCCAATACTCCTAGTTCATCATGATCATGAACTTTGGGGTCAAGATGCAAAAGAATTCAAACCAGAGAGATTTGCAGAAGGCATTGCAAAAGCAACAAAACATCAATTCTCATACTTCCCCTTCAGTTCGGGTCCCCGAAAATGCATTGGTAATAACTTTGCAATGATGGAAGCAAAACTGGCTATAGCAATGATCCTTCAGCGATTCTCGTTCGAGCTTTCGCCATCTTATGTTCATGCTCCTTCCTACGTCGTAACTATGCAACCCCAACATGGTGTTCATATAATTTTACACAAAATATAGTGTCAAATTCTCAGCATTTGATTGTGAGTGATCTCAGTCGAAAATTGCTAGTAATTCTGTAACAGATTTCTGCCTCAAACCAATCTTAATAACTTTTTTCTTTCAGCTTCCGTACTATTTTTAATGATTTCACGATACAGCACATTTAGCAGAAGACTACATGATAAAATAAGACCATTGAAAACAGCGTTGACTAGACATCAATTAGAGTTGAGTTTGACTGACAACGTTAGAAAATTTCAAAAAACCCCACTCCGAAAAATTCTCAAAGGTCTAACCTAGTGTGAAGCTTAGCCAAGAAAACGTTTAAAACACTTTTTAGGCACTTTTCTATTTTTTTTCTGCCGTTTGAGGTATTTTCATAGTATTGCGTAATTGCTTGGTTTCCGTTAGGGTTCTTATTTATATTGTGGTGAAAACTTAATTAGCAGCTTTGCTTTGGTTTATCTTAAATAAAATTTAGAGACTACTTTTCTTTCAATTCCCAATTGACTTGGTAATTTAGAAATCAAAAAGGCTCTTAAAGGCTATAATAATTTGGTATTATTGTAATAATCAACATGTTATAACTTCTAGTGTTTAATCTTATTTCGATATTCACACTTCCTTGCATCATTTGGGCTTGTGGTGTGTAATGGTGGAATTCATTATCAAAGTTTTTGATCCTACAGGAAATAGTAGTTTCTAAAATGGATTCCCTTACAACAATAGGAGTGCTTAGACGACCATCCACGCCAGGAGTAGAATATTCAGAAGGGATAAATCTCTTATGACTTGATTTCAAGAAGTTATCAAAATTTAAATTCAAAATGTCTGAATTTACAACTTGTTTTTATTATTACTTGAAATAGCTCTTGAGTTGGTAATTGGTCATTTTCATGGTGGGGTGAGCGAGCTAAGTCTCTTGAGTTGGTAATTGGTCATTTTCATGGTGGGGTGAGCGAGCTAAGTCTCAATCCTCGTGACTACATCAATGGAGCAATTGGCAATTTAGAAGGCTGGTTTGTTATTGAGTATTGGGTGAATAACACTTTGGACCCTGAATTTTTTTAAAATTCTCAACTTACATCATCAAAGATTAAAATTCGTCCATTGCACCCTTAAACATATAAAAATATAGCAATGTGATCCAAAAACAAACATATGTTGCTCTGACGGCAATTTTTTTGCCATATTTCTTAGTATTGTATATAACTATTTATATATTACTCAGTTTAAGTATGTTATATGAGTATTTTGTACTTAGTTTTTATCAAAAAACAGAACACATGGCTACATTTTTATATAATTGAGTTGCAATGGGGAAATATTTAGTCTTTAATAGTATAAGATTGAGGGTTTAAAGATCTTCCGGATTAAAACGTTATTAGTCAATTGATATTTAGCAAACTATTTTTCAAGTGGCCCATGTATCATCAGGTCCCTATAGCTGTCATGATGTTTAGGAGGCAGAGGAGGAATTAGGCTCAGCATGCACGTAAGGTAGTTGTACTTGTAATTTGTTATATTCTGGCTTAAATGATATAGATAACGAAGCTGTGCCATTACAATTTATATGCTTGTGTATATGAATTTGAATATATGTATATATATTATATTTGTATGAATCATTTTTTAACATAATGGGAAGATTGGTGAGTGATATCGGTTTCTCATCGTCCATATGTAATTATATTTTGTGGGTTGGAAATCATTAATTTTTTAACATAATAGAAAGATCGGTGAGTAACATCGATTTATCATCGTTTAACAAATACCCAAATTTCAACTAATATACTCTATTTTTTTAAAAAAAAATTCATCCGAAAGTCAAACCATCGTAAATTCAAGTGGAATTTACTAAGAAAAGTGGGTGCCCCTTTAAAAAAATTGGATGGTTTACCATTGAATTGACTGTATTTTCAAAAACAGAGATTAAACATGGAGATGCTTCAAGCTCTCTGTAATCATATCATCCCCCCTTTCCCTATTGTTGTTGGGATCCGATGACTACATTCATTAAATTAAGTTGTTTTCAATTATATTGTAGTTGTTAAAAGGGACCGATAAAATGTTGGGTGTACATATTTAATCAAGTGATCAAGCTACCACTATTTGTGGTCCACAACAGAGATTTATCGAGAGAGGCACCCAAAGCAATCGCTTAAATTTTTTAAGATGAAGAGTTGTACCAATCATGTGCTTATTTTATTCATGGTTACAATGCAAAATTTAAATCATGCAATCCAACACAAAATATGTCAAGTATGCCTTATGTGTTTCACTCAAATATGTCGTTGCCATCGGCAAGGATATATATACAATACCCCTTGGCTAGTTCACTCTGAATAAGCTAGTTTACAATCAAAACAGGGTTATAGAAACATAGCTCTCCCTCACACACACACACACCCCACACCCATTTACAGAGATCTTGAACTAACTAGTTAAAATGGAAGTAACCCTTCCCATTATTGCAATATCTTGTGTTTTGGTCGCTTTCTTGTCATGTGCATGGAGAGTTTTCAACTGGGTGTGGTGTTGGCTATATTTTCAGCCTTTGTATATTTGTGATAGATAAAACAAAGACAATATAACTAAGTCTTTTGGAATAATTTTTCATACATGTATTCCATATTTTCAACATACACATATAAGTTGCAAGATACATCTTGACCACTCACTTTCCTAGATCATTAATCACATAATCAAACCCAAGACATAACCACTTGTATTCCTAAGTCACCTAGATATACTTAGCAACAAAACATTATCTAATATTCTATTTTTAACACTTCCCCTTAATGTTTTGTTGTTTTATTCCCAGCATGTCTCTTAGAAACTCGAACTTATATTTAGGAAGTGCTTCGGTAAAAATGTCCGCCACTTGATCTTCGGTCTTGCAATATTGAACTTGAATCTCTTCATCTTCCACGGTTTCTCGAATAAAGTGATGTTTGATTGCAATGTGCTTAATTTGGCTATGATAGACGAGATTCTTTGTCATGGCGATAACTGATTTATTATTGCATAAAATTGGAGTTGCATCACCTTGGTTTTCACCAATATCTTCCATGATTCTTCTTAACCAAATTGCTTGAGATGTGGCCAATGATGCTGAAATATATTCAGCTTCAAGTGATGATTGTGCCACACTTTGTTGTTTCTTTGACACCCATGAAATTACACCGGAACCAAGTGAGAATGCATAGCCTGAAGTACTTCTCATATCGTCAATGTTTTCGGTCCAATCACTATCACAAAATCCAAGTGACTTGACATCAACATTCCTTCCAAGCATAATCCCAAAATCAAGTGTTCCTTGAATATATCTCAACACTCTCTTTTTTGCTCCACAATGAATTTGGCTTGGTTTGTGCATAAACCAAGGTAACAAACTTGTAGCATACATGATGTTTGGCCTTGTAGTTGTCAAGTACAAAAGACTTCCAACCAAGCTTCTATAGAAAGATGCTTCAAATTCTTTAGTTCCACCATCTTTGAACAACTTTTCATTCACAACTAGGTGTAATCACTGATTTGCAATTTCTCATTCTAAATTTTTCAAGAAGAGTTTTTGCATACTTCCTTTAGCAAATAAAAACTCCATCTTCTTATTGATAAATTTCAATGTCCATGAAGTAATATAGAAGTCCCAAGTCACTCATTTCTTATCTTTTCATCATCTCACTTTTAAAATCTTCAATCATTAATTGGTCATTCCCGGTAAAAATTAAGTCATCAACATAAAGAGACACAATGAGAATACCGGTATTACCTTGCATTTTAATGTACAAGGTTGGCTCACTTTTACTTCTTTGAAATCCCTTTGCATTGAAATAGGAATCAATCTCACTATACCATGCTTGAGGTGCTTGCTCAGCCCGTACAAAGCTTTTTTTAGATTGTACACTTTTCTTCTTCACCGTTGACCGTAAAGCCTTGAGGTTGCTCTACATAAACTTCTTCTTTTAGTACACCATTCAAGAATGCTGATTTTACATCTAATTGATGAAGAAACCAACCTCTTTGTGAAGCAAGAGCAATAAGAAGCCCTATTGTATCAAGTTGAGCAACCGGAGCAAAAGTATCTTGGTAATCGACACCGGATTGTTGTGAATACCCCTTTATTACAAGCCTTACTTTATTTTTTTGAATTCAACCATCTAGATTAAGCTTCGTTTTGTAAATTCACTTCACCCAAATAACCCCAATAACCTCTATATTTTTTGGTTTTTTCATCAACTCTTAAGTGCTATTTTTCTCAATCACATGAAATTCATTTCCTTTGTTTTCTTCCAAGCATCTTCTTTGATTGCTTCTTCAAAACTTTCGGGTTCAATCACACAAAAATAGCATCTAGCATACACATCACTAAGACTTCTCATTTTCCTTGGAGTTGAACTTGGAGATAAAGTGCTTGAACTTGTGGAAGTAGAAGGAGATGAATGAAAGTTGGGTGTTGGAGAAATTTGTGATAGAACTTCAACTTTTTTATTTTCATTTTCATGCTCAAAGTTTCCATAATCTTCATTTGCTACAACCACTTGATTTTAAACATTCTTATATTTCCAATTCCAAGAGTCATTCTTATTAAAGAGAACATCTCTATAAATAATAACTTTGTTTCTCTTCAAACTAAAGAGTTTATAACTGTTTGATTTAGAGCTATAACCCACAAAGATACATTTTTCACTACTTTTATCAAACTTGTACCTCATTTCTTTAGGAACATGTGCAAAACAAATGCATCCAAAAACCCTTAAGTGGTTCACCAACGGCTTCCTTTCACACCAAGCTTCAATTGGAGTTTGGTTTTTCAAAGCTTTTGTTGGACATCTATTTATCAAGTAAACCACCATGTATACCGCTTCGGCCTAAAATGATTTAGGTAAACTCTTCTCATAAACCATCGATTTAGTCATCTCAACAATGGTTCTATTCTTTCTTTCGGCCACTCCATTTTTTTGTGGAGTATACCTAATCGTCAATTGTCTTTCCATACCAATGTCTTCACAAAACTTATTAAATTCATTAGAGGTATACTTACCACCTCTATCACTTCTTAACAACTTAATATAGTATCCACTT